AGTAGGTTTCAAATTACTCTAGCAAGCTTACAATTCAACAAAACAATCTTACGCATGATGAATAACACTGGGCAGGTCCAATACTTTGTTAATGATCTTCTGGGTCGCTGAAATACTAACAAGGCCTAAGTAAGGAATCAGTCATTGAATGCACTGTCTACTAGGGCAGCTTCCTCCACTTCTCTTGAAATTTGACGAGTTTCTCGCCCATATTCCCGGCTCTTATTTCCACCAAAGGTATCCCTACTCTTTCCCATAATGTTTCGATGGCGCTCAGGAGTTGCATGTGAGTTGGTCCCTTCGTTAAAAGCACGCATACTGTGCTGAATGAAATATTCGATTAGTTATGGTCTGGCCTCCATTTATAGTAGGTACATCACCCTTCTCCATTGTTCATTTTATCGTACCAGGTTATAGCCAGTTCACGCCAAGTGTCAAGTAACACTTTTCAGAATAATCTTCACACAGGAGCCATATAATTTTCATGAAGCCATGGGATATATTCCTCGAGGGAATCTCCAAACAAGCTTATCATGAGGTTGTTTTGCTTGAGAGCACAACTCGTAATCAGTGGTATAAAAGTATGCCCGTGCGATAGTGACCACCATTCGCAAACTTCTCGTCAAATCGCCATGAGCTATCGCCCCTTCATAGAGAGCTCATACTGCATGTATGCTGAACGCCCATGGACAACCTGTGCGAATGAAGCTAATCTCGCTACTGCCAAGCCAACGACGCCTGTATTCTCCACATATCACGATCAGGTTAGTGCACTTGACCAATGACAATGGCCATCAATGCCGTTCAGGCTGCTTTCCAGGGTCAGGTGAATGCGTATCATCTTTTTCCTCCATCTGCTCTGAGACAGCCTGTCGCTCAAAAGGCTTCTGTGACTAGACGTAAGGAGAATTAAAAGAATCACAGACATGGCGCTTAATTGCACTTTTTTCCAGCTCCTATTGTGTCGTCCTACTTAATCGATATACCAAGTTACGGCACTGACTACTACATGGGGAACGGTCCGAATGCTGGGAAGATTCTAAACAAAGAAGTGGATAATATTGACGTGTATCCCCGAACAGATAATTATCAGGTGGTGTCGGAGATTTTGAGTACGGAAATAAGCATGAGAGACTAGAGAATCAAGGTCTATCCTAGTGTTTTAAATAGATTGGGCCAGTTCAAAATCCTGAACGTTCTAAATGCTAGCGAGTTCGATTTGATAACAGTTCCCATCGATATTCACAAGATTGAAGAATGGCATGTCATCTGCAGCCCAAAGCTCCATTGGCCGTGCTAGTTTTGTTCTGAACATTTACGCGAATCACAGTTTTGGTGTGTCGCTTTGCTGGTGCCGGGGCTATCACGCAAATAATTAAGTAGGTGATAAGGCAGCTATTGGAATAATTCAACCCGCTAACAGGTCTGGGTAGCTCGCAGGCTTTGCCCTATCAATGTTTTGCAATGGCATGATTGTGATAGCAACCTAGCGGCTACATAAACACCTAAGCACACTTCCGGTCATTCCACAAGGTGCTGCCCCCTGAGAAAGAAGGTATTCTGAGAGAGAAAAGGCGGGATTTGTGGTGCACGGGCGAGAATCACGGTACAATAAATTCTTGTGGATCGCTACGATCGTAAAAGTGTTACCTTAACTGCAGCAGGCTACTGCTCGTACTACATACGAAGGAAAACCACTCTCTAAGGGCCCGATGTAGCACAGCCTGCTAAATTTCGGCGATTTATCCCGAGGCAGACGGCGTCTTGCTGCATACGCCCCAGGCAACAAGAGAACGCCGACGTGACGTGTTTGATATTGGCGGTTAGCGCATGTCTCAAACTACTCGGATGTATATTCGATTCTCCACAGTTTTCGGGTGGCCTCTGTTTAGGGTGACTTACTGTTATGGTTGTTTACTCGTGGCAGACCTAATGCTCAGATTAAGCCCAACACTGAGCTCAAGCGCACCCCTCAAACGTAAGCCAATGTGTAAGCAAAATAAGCAAAACTTGAAGCTTTAATCATCATAGCTCTGCGTTCGCCCTACGTTTGTTTAAAGCTGGGGTTTAATAGCAGTTCGCACAAAAAGGTGGTCAGAGGTGAAGTGATGAAGAAGAAACAAATGAAAACAGCTTTGAACCCGCAGGATGGGAAGCTTTTGGCTTGTTGATTCCCACTTTGGACAAACTGACAAGGCGAGATCGTTCGCGCGCGTTAATCGCGACGGCCGATATCACATAAAGAAAAAGAATACTTTGATTGATAATGCATCAAATAGAAATATTAAAGGATACGGCCGCTTGAATTGAAAAGCCGCTTCAAAATGAAGATCAAACGATGGCCACACGCTGCTGTTATTACTCATGGAGCGTGCAGAGTTGGCGATCGTACGTGCGATTAGGCGATTATGCGACAAGTCAATAATGAAAAATATACGTGTAGATTAGGCGATTAGGCGATCGGGCGATGGGGAGCAACAAATCAATACGCATCCTTCTCTTATCGCCTACTCGCCTACTCGCCTAATCGCCTAATCGCCTAATCGATACGTATACTTTTCTTTTTGAATCATCGCCTATCGCCTAATCGCACGTACGATCGCCAACTATGACCGCTCCATCAGCCATTGGCAGGAGGGCAGAGGCGCGAGCGGCGCGATACGGCCACGCTGGGCCGCTGAGTGCATACCCTTCGTCACGAAATTTGGATCGTGACGCAATTTAGGGGCCCCTGCACTTCCATGGTATCTCTTCTTCGACCTCTGAACTTATCGACACCATTCCTTGAAAAGAGGGAGGATAACCGTATAGGATTTGCAACTGCTTCTGCGCTTCGAGCTCCAACACTGAATAACACTGACAAATTCACTGCCATTCTTAACTACTCAATTTGTGAATAAGATTTCAGTATACTGAAGAATGAGCAAAACCTGATTTGTATCAACAAGTTAATTATTTGGACCATTCTTGAGGAATCTGTTCCAGAGTCCAATGGTAATCGAGCAGAGTTACCAGGCGCCAAAGTGTCTTCCGAAGAACATTTTCGTAGCAACACCTGACGCCAACACAGTTTCGCCCTCAACTGCAATACAGGAAGCAGCTACCCCAATGAGGAATAGTACGGTAAGCAGCAATCCCTATGCTGCACTGGAGTTAATAAGAAATGATTAATACGCACAGGGTGGCCCATGGGCGACGTCATTTTACGCATGGAAGCGCGACGAACGGGTGCCACACACTGATGATGCAATAAGATTGGATATCGGTATTGCCATTTTTGTATTGAAAGAACCAGGCTGGGTTTCTGCAACCCTATTTGTGGGTATTGGCAGTAAGATAAGATTGTAGCTCATCCCTAATTGCAAAGTTATCTCCTAATGCCTGTCAGCGAAACTTCTTTTCTGCGACTGAGCATAAAACTTTACCGTATAGATAGCTGGCCCAGGACAAGCTATAGGAACATATTTAAAATTGAGGACACAAAAAATGTGAAATTTCTCCAAACACATATTATCCCTTGTTCTGAAACACGAAACGATGTTTTCAGAAGAAGAGCAAGAAACCGCGGTCACAATTCCAAATGCTGATCCTTTTGCACGTCCAAGTAATAATGACGTATGTGGGGTCTTCAACACTTCCTGTCAATGCTGAGGCTGACAGCGCTACCTTACACATAAGCGTTTTATGCTACGAAAGGCGTGGGCTACTATTTGGTGCTCACAAGGGGGTCTTTCAGCACATGGAGCGTTTTTTCAAAATGGTCACCGAAATTTTGTAGAGGCTCACGTGAGGTTAACATCAGAAACTATAGAGTTCAATTTTCCTGAACCCTTGGTTAGTCAAAACAGCGGGAAAGAAGTTATCCAAAGTTCGATCCCCCGTGACGAAAAATTGTTGTAATTTGTGTTGGCGCTTCCAATTACCGCAGAACACGACAGTGGCACTATACTCGACGATGGCTTATTTGGCGGCAATCTGGTTGCGCCAAACCATGTTGCAAAAATTAGTCATCACCGGGGATCGAACTCTGGACCATTTCTTCACCACTGTTTTGACATTCCTGGAGGCGTTCAGGAAAATGGGATCATGGTTCTGTGTTCCTCGCATGAGCCCCTACAATATGCAGAAAACCATTTCGAAAAAGCGCTCCATGTCCTGAAAGACCTTCCTTGTAGTAAAGTTGTTCACTCTTAGCTGTCAGAAATGCATACTTCTTTACGTCTTTGGCGCCAAATAGCCACATGTGCTACTACCATGGGACGACGTCCTTTGCCATGGCTAACAGTTGTAACGAAGCTCTATCGGGATAGCCGTGATTTGGCAAAAAAGAAATGGTGAATACAAATCTCTGAACGGTCTACCATAAACCCATCCTCCCAACCCTTCCGCCTCTCCCACCAGAGTCAACCGTCCGTTCAAATTCGAAGGAGGGCTAGTATTTTGCTCAAGCAGAAACCCGGTGGCCCACGATGGAAATCGTAGCGATATCGCCACTGGTAGATGCATAGGAGAGGGAAACCTTGGAAGAGAACATGATGTTGTGGAACAATAAAAAATGGCGCTCCAGTGCACAAATTACGTAGCAGTCAGAAACGACTAACAATAAGTCGGGCGAGTAAGCCATGCACTGCAAAATTTTCCGACCAAAATCCATGATCTCTTGATTGTAGTCCTTCGCTACGTGCAGATATGCGTTGGGGTGGAGTAAGAACACATTGAGAACTTCTGCGGGAGACGCGTGGCTAGGCCGAATGTTGGATTTTGGAGCCGACAATTTCGTCACCGCGGTACAGGTTACCAGCAGCTTTCTGTAGAGAATCAGTTTGCAACCTCCAGAAACACTAAAAAGTCCTTCTTGACGAAGGCCTGCTTTTGTTCCTGCAGGCAGCTTTCCTCCTTGTCGAATCCAGTAGTGCTTATGTGTATAGTTTACTCAAGGCCAGAGCTATCTTTATTAATCATCATTTTTGTCAAGAGATTTCTTTGAGGGGCATGAAGGGAAGGAATCCCAACCATGGTCACACGGTTCGCCTCCCCAGAATGGCATAACCCATGTTTTGTCAATGGCGAACAATGGAGGCAGACGTCGGCAAACTCTAAATCTACCTGAACAATTAAAAAACGCGTGATTCGAAGAAAGTTGTATCCGTCATGGTCATCTGTCCACCACCTTGACTCTTCTATATACATAGTTTGTGTTTGGTTCAAGCCCACACGACGCACCCCAACACCTCTCCGAAATCCCTTCATAACTTATCCGGAAATACATATAACATTACACTGTATGCGCCACTACCGGGAGTACCTTTTTATCGAACCAAACACTAACTTTGTGCGTTCATCGATCTGCATGTTTGTATGTCTTTGTATGCGTCCGCGAAATTTCC